GGGGGGGGGAGCACACATCATTATGGAACCACCCGGAATCTTTTTACACCAAGAACCTACTCCTGAAGGGCCCCATTGTGTTGTCACCATTTGTAGACCCATCCATCTGCTGGGGATGATGCAGGATATGATTCATCAGACCCTTATTACGCTCTTTAAGTACATGGATACCTATTTCCTTGGGGGGGGGGGGGCGCAAAAACGTGAAAAGAGTGATAAATTCACCATTGCCTGTCACCTTCCAGCTCAGACCAATCCTCCCCACATCCCCCTTTCAGCCTAATGTTACCCTAAGACCAAACATCCATTTTTCATATTTCCCCTGGCTACTGCCCCCTCCTGGTCAGTTCCTTGTGTATACAGGCAATTTCAACACCATCCATCACTAAAGCCAACTGCCAGACGTGCGACAATAATTAGCCCTTTTCAGACTCGCTGCGGCCTCCTCTCGTGACCATACCGGCTCATTATCCTAGACAAGAGGCGCCGCCCACTTAAATATAGACAAGGATGGAGCTGCCGGAACTAGAGCTGCACATGTCACACGTCGGTCAGACCATGCACAGCACTTTGTGCTCCGGCGTGTCCAGTCAGTGTGTAAAGCCAGTATCAGATTAAACTGACACTCCCTAACCCTTTAATCCCGAACCCTCAGCTTCTCAAGGTGTAGCCTCACTGTGTCTCCAGGAGTAGATATCGGAGATGGGGGGGGGCTGTTGGATGACATGAAACACCCCCCCCCCCACACGCACACAGTTTTCAGAACACTAAATTAGATGCAGAGGCACTTCACAGTACTGGACTGACAGTAAAGCACACAACAGCTTATGTAGATTTTGTGAGTTTTTGGTTCTCCTCTAGGGCATGGTGGTATACTGGTTTGGTTCTCCTCTAGGGCATGGTGGTATACTGGTTTGGTTCTCCTCTAGGGCATGGTGGTNTTTGGTTCTCCTCTAGGGCATGGTGGTATACTGGTTTGGTTCTCCTCTAGGGCATGGTGGTATACTGGTTTGGTTCTCCTCTAGGGCATGGTGGTATACTGGTTTGATTCTCCTCTAGGGCTTAGTGGTATACTGGTTAGTACTGCTGCCTGTTATCTCTGAGACCAGGGCTCTGATCCAGCTCTATGTGTGTGAAATTGGCATATTTGCCACATGTTATCATGGGCGATGCCAAATTGTCCATGTGTATGACATGTAATAGGTTGGCAGGGATGGATAGACTCTTGCTTTTTAGAAGATGGTGTGCAGCTCTTGCTCCAGTACTACATACACTTGTACCTGGGAATTCATTGGAAGGTCGTCTTATGCCTAGCTGATTCCATGACAGCCATTTAACAGGTGGTCAGTGGCTCAGCGGGCTAAGTCTCCGTGCCCATGATTGGAAGGTCGCTGGTTTGATCTCTGGCCTCGACAGAACAGTCACATGTCCGTAGGCCCGTAACCCCCAGCTCTGGGGCTGCTGCACAATGGTTGAATGGATTTCTGAAAACTTGATTTTCATTGACCTTTACTTGTCAGTCGCATCTAAAATTGACACCAGGGCCACAGTTCTCAGCATGTTCGCATGAAGGCCCAGCCAGGTGTCTGTGGGAAGGTACTAACCTTTTCAGGGCGTGAGGTCACCAGGCTCTCTGCACCCCACCTCTTTGCACCTCTCACGAGGCACAACATTGGTGTCTGCCAGTCCGAGGTTCATAGGGTGCAGTTCTGGGGCCGAGGAGAGCTTCTCCCGCGGTGGTGGCCGCAAAAGGCTACACCACAGACAGACACGTGGGCATGCTAGCACAGGAGCGACCGAGCGCAGCAGAAGTGACGCTCGCTTTCTGACGGTCAAAGCATGTTTTTCGTGACTGAGCGCTAGGTGTGGGTTTGGGGTGGGTGTCTCGTGGCTTTTTTTAAACTCGCCTGAAGTTAGAGTGTGAATTCAGAAGATGCAGTTCTTGTCACACAAACATATACTGTTCTCTGACTACTAATACTATTACAAATACTTTTCTAAAGTCAACAGTTTTTTTTTTTTTGACAAAAATGTAGTCTCCCCACTAATCTGCAATTTTTCATTCTGACATTGGGTGGATTCAGCTTTTGGGTTTTTCTGGAGTTTGTCAGTTTTTCTTTGTAGTACGGGCAACTTATTTAAATGTATTTTATCCAGCCCACGCTTGAGTCCAAATTTTAGCACATCAGACATTAGCAACCTCTTAGGATTCCATTTTTTCTATGGTTTAAAACACTATGGGTTTCCTTGGTTGATGGAGCAGAATCACCGATTTGATGATTGGGCACATAAGAGATTCCTCTGAAGCTACAAATTACAGGAAAAAAAAGTTTGACGGTTGACGTTCAGGAACCCTTTTGCACGATTTGTTGCAATACCTCCTACAGAGATGTGAGAGAAGTGATTTTAAAGTGTTGCTTCAGTTGAGTAACTGGCTGTCACACGCTTACCTCTGTTGGCCTCCCATTTCTGGCAAGTTATCCACGGCAAAGATCCAAGTTGCTCCAAAAAGGCTCTACAAATAAGCCAGACCACAAAAACACAATTTCGAAATCAACCATGAATCATATCCAAGTGGCCACTGATAACATTACACAATTTATTTCCTCAGCCAATGTCGATTTTCCAGGGTTAGGTGTATATACCCTTCTACCCTAAAGTTACAGCCGGGGGTTTATTTGGGTGAATCAGTGATTCTTCCTAAATTTGAACCTACCAGACAGTGACAATTGAACGAGACATGCTCCCCCCTCTCCTTACTCTGAAATAACACACGCAGACACACCCCCGACAAAAGGCCTTGATTATCCGAGCGCTGTCACGTTCCATGAGTTAGGCGTCACAGATCTTCAGCATCCAAAGCCCTTCTGTAATAAACAGCGGCCTGGTTTATGAGCGGCCTGCCAAGCTGAGGATGTATCAGCTGTTGCGAATCCATCAGAGACGAATGAGCGGAGAAGCTTCCTGATATTTGCCTCATTAAACTGAATGTTTTAGACCTGAAGGAGAATTCAAGTACAGCAACAAGGTGGAGGAGACCAAAATCTGACTTTGTTGACTGGGATGGGAATATTTCACATTTTCCTGACATAGTCTTGCATCAGCTAGCAATTCTGTTCTATAAACGTCTCAGCGGTACTAAAACTGGAAGCAATATGAGTCTATATATTTTTGAAACAACTTTTTAACCTCCTGGTTTTAACTTCGCCCTGCCTGTGCCTACAGGCATGATATATTTATAGCTAACCGCACCCAGAGCGTGTTATTCATAAAAATACACAAGCTCTAAAACCAGAGAGCTCTCCTCCTTTCCATCCCTTCATCCTGAGTGCAGACGATCTCCGCTCTCGCCTGGAGAGCTGCAGAGCTTGGGGCCACCAGCTGTAGCAGCATGTAAAGGCGTATTTATGCTGGCGTGTGGCTATAACCCAAGAGGAGGTTGCAAGGAGGGGGAGCAATCAATAACACATGGCAGCTAGTCAATTGGAGATTCAATGCGGGACCCTTTCTGCTTAAGAGATGGATCTATATGATGTGTTCAGTTTTTCAGCCAAGGGCCTTAGTAGATACTGGATGTGGGCTCAATCTGAACAAAACGAAGAAAAGTAAACAAACTGGAATTAGAAATAAGGAACCCAAAGCAAAAGAGTATCTGTTCTTGGTGAGAGTTCTTGGGTAAAAGTGGATGGTTACGTGGGTGAATGTGTGTGCTTTGGCCTTTTTAAAGCCTACTGTACTTACGAATAGAAATCCCTATGCTGAAAAATAAGGCCAGTCACCATGTAAAAAGTCCAGCACTCACACATTGACTAAGAGCACAGTGGGTAATTCTCTTTGCCCGCGCTGCCGAGGAAGTTTTGGGAATGACCATGGACATGGCTGTAAAGTGATGTCAGGTGCTTTTTGCTTTAGCAACACAGCAATATTCATCCATCCATTATCAAAACCTAAGCTTACACTAGTGGCCAAGATTGCAGAACTTTATTCCAGTTACTTATTTAATCACCCATTGTATGCTACTGGTAACATTTTTTGACTGTTTATAAGCATTACTGCCAATATTCATGTAGTAATTTCTAAAGCGTAATGCCAAATATACTAAGTGTTTCCCCAGTTTTGGCCACCAATGTAGGTTATGGTCAACAACAGCTCGCTCTAAGAAGCGTGTTTTTGTTATATGTCCTGCTCTGAAGGTATCACAGCCAACTAGAAAAAGTCAGAGTGGGAGAGAACCAGGAATAACACAAGTCTGGAGCATTGCCTTCTTTCGTTTCTCATCCTCATGTCAGAGTTCACCCTTATCATCCATTCCCCATGCTTCTGATCATAGAGCAGCCTGTTAACTATAAACACTTTGCTCCAGCGCTGCCACTAAACCAGATATGTGACCAGAATGATGAAAATGCTCTGTGACCGTGCTGTGCCACATGGATGTCAGCCATACATTTGTGGGGTGCACACTAACGGAGCTGGGAGGGATGATCTGAACTTTGACCTCAAATCATATCCCCCCCCCCCAAAAAAAGCAACAGCCCATCAAAATGCACATTCAGGCAGCTCTAGTTACACCTTAAAATTGACTTGTGTGAAAAATAATGCAAAAAGTCAGCATATACCTGTACGCAAATGAACACTTCTTTCATCATGTGTTCTTTAGTATGTATTTTTAGCATTTTTTTGGCTTACATGTTTTTTGCTACAACATCACTTGATTGATGTGGGAAGGTAAACCTGATGTAGGTAAAAATTTGACTTATGTAAGGGTTTGTGGAACGGAATACTTACGTCAGTGGAGACCGGCCTGCACCTAAAATGGCATTTACAATCGGTGTTCATAAGCCAGTCCTTGGGATTACTTTAGACTGATTATTAGCTACTTGTTAAATCGCTGGACCTTTAATACAGTAGTAATTATATTGTCCCTTCCGCCTTTGGCGGCAGTTTTAACATTGCCATTCAGGTTTGCGCTGAAAACCCCTTTCATTCCTAAATAGTGATGAAAAGCAAGAATTTTGTTAATTTAGGAATGTGTAATGAAGTGCCTGACAGGCATAAATGACTTTCATTTGACGGAAAGGTTTCACATTTACATAAAAATGTTTTTCTTTTGCTGTGACCGAACTACGCCCTGCTCGGCACCGGCGCGGTGAGCTTCAGGAACACGCTCAGCCAGCTGTCTACACCGACGCTGGCTGCGTGCGACTCAGGACAGCGAACACAACCAAGCGTGTTATTTAGATATCAGCTTTAAGTATTAAAGAACCGCCAATTATAAATTATATATACTCACCCAGGTTGCGATGTTTTATGAATTAATCGGTGTATCCGTAATCAGATTTATAATAGTTAATCTTTAGTTTAAAATAAAATAATGAGCAGGGCTTGTTAACGTTTCGAACACCTGTGAGAGCAGACGTTTACGGCAGGATATGTGCGCTGGAATGGATCCAGCTGTCTCAGAAAGGCGCTCGCAAGCCAGCTGATTAAACCATCAGCACCCGGGCAGCCGAAGGTCGTTAGAGCTGGAAACGGGGCTCACGTACAGCACCCTCGTGAACCGGCCGGAGGGGTCGGGGGCTGGGGAATATTCAGGGCACTTGCTTTTTTACATGACAGATTTAAAAAGTGTTTCAAGGGAGGTGCTAAAATTCCTTCCAAGCCAACTGTGATTCCTGGCAAATGCATGCGCCACTAGGCCCCGTGGTCCTGCAGGGCCAGCAGTAACGGTATAATCCAGACTTGGCAGCTCGCCCCCGCCCCGACGGTAACCGCTAGCAGAGTCGCGCCTGAAATTCGCTTTAATTTACTGTATCTCAACAGTTTACTTATAAGTTCGTAATGCGAAAGAGGTGCGCTCCACTTACCTTAATGCTGCATGCTGTCAGAATTCCTGCCACTTTGTTTTTTTCCTTCCTTAAGAGACGCGGACAACATATACAGCTGAGATTAATTACCAACACTTTCTGGACGGGGAACTTTCTGGAACAGGTTTATACCTTCGTAATAATTATTCATGTACGTTTGAAATTTAGCTTCGGGATTCTGGACAGTGGGGTAATTGCCACACGAGGGGTGGGGGGTACCGGGGGATTTCCGCAGCGGCCATGTTTTTGACGGCACGTGGTGTTGTTATCCTGAGACGTTCACTACAAATCCGCTTGTCCGGACAGCAAGCTCTGAACACGAAAAATATGTCTCGGGGTCTCTTTCGGCTGTTTGTCACTATAATGATTCACCTAGACTTGAGTCCTTTTCGCATTATCTATTTTCTGCCTCACTTGATACCAATGAAAAAACTCATACATATAAACATAACTTATCCGACAACATGGTACCTATGCCAAATAAATAAATGTTCATACATATTCATGATAAAGGCTTAAATGCTATTTTGCCATAGGAAAGTAGCTGACAGCTTAATATCTATAATACCAGGATGTAATACTACTGCTAATAAAGCTTTGTTGATATGCATATTATACCCATGCAAATTAAGTAAATCCTGTCATTTGCTGAGAAGAAACAAAAAAAAAACATACTTCCAAAAGCCCAAATCAGGAAACCATCCATGGACGAAGCATGCTGCGTGGGTTAGCCACTTGACAAAGCTGAGCCGTTATGACGAAAGATATCCGACAAACTTTGGCACACGGGGCCCTGGAAAACAAGATATCAAACACTGGCAGCAGCAGCCTGCGTTTTTCAGGAGTGACCTATGTGGATAGCCCAAGGATGTTGCCCGTTCACATGCTATTAAATCTCATGGAGGGGAATTAGCAAATTTTAAGCTACATGAGTCCGTCCTGGTTAGCTTTGCGCTCATCCTAGCACTGGCGACGAATGGCTGGACTCGGAGCGGTGCTGGCACACGTTTCCTAAGGAAAGGCCCGGCTTTTATTGTTCTGAACGGATGTCAGGCTGCGTTAGCGCAGGGTGCTGCAGCCGGGAATCCCCCCTGCTGGGTGCCTTGCTGTCATAACCTTTAATTACACCCAGTTTGACAGCTTCCCAGATGGTCAGGGAGACAGGGTTAAAGCACTGGAGCCCCCCCACCCCTTCTCTCTCCTTCTCTGAGTACACTAAAAAGACCTTGTGCTGACATCCCCACTTCAACTTGCCACCCCTCACCCCCCTAGCAAAAGTGGAGTACTCAGGTTCTTTGTACTGGAGATTTTTTTTCCTGCTTGATATTAAAGGCTCGTACGCACAGACTTGCAGGTTCTGTGGTTCCGGCACTTTCTGACACAATCACACAAACAGGAGATGTATTTGCTATGCTTTATCGACCTCCTTACGGTGATCTACACTAGTGGCCAAAACTGTGGAAATACTTCAGATTTTTAGAGATTGCAGAACTTTATTCCAGTTACCTTTTTAATCATTCAGTGTATGATATTTGATTGTTTATAAACATTACCGCTAATATTTGTGTAATAATTTTTAAAGCGTAATGCCAAAAATGCTAGGTGGTTTGCACAATTTTGGCCACTAGTGTAAATATTACTAGCAGAATGATGAGTTTAGCTGTAAGATCAGTGATTACCTGACCTGCTATAAATGGAAGCATCTACCCGCACGTCCTCACATAGAAATGATGTGTAGTCAGACTGCCAAACACACCAGATTTGTTGTGATGCCCAATTAGGATTATAAGAGGAAAAAACTGGCAGTCTAATCAAAAACTACACTGAGAGAAAAGACCCGCTGTCTGTCTTTGCGGAAAGACACGTAGCCTGCAACAGCTGATAGCAGAGACGTGCGTCCTGGTGCCAGCGAAAGAAGCGGGTGTCAAATCGACTGCTGTACATTCAACGGGCCCCAGCTTCAGTGTGGCGGGAGTGCTCCAGAGGGGTTGGGGGGGGGAGGGGGTCGATCCAGATCTCAGATCAGAATGACTTAAACCTGAGTTTAACCTTTCGGTAAAATATACAAGGAATGGGAGCAGTGTGGACACAGGGAGGAGTCAGTGCTAAACAGCAAACTCTTTACTCTATTATAGTAACACTTTACTTTAGGACAAATAACTTTGTAGTTCAGTTACTACTGAAGTACAAATCATGAACTAATGTAGGTCCTGCATGAAATACATCGTCAAGTAGGTCATTAATGTCATTTTTAAACATACACAGTTGAGTACAGTACACAGTTAAAAACGAAGCAGCGTTTCTCTCAGACCAAGGGGCTACATAAATTAACACAAGACCAACACAAGATTGATTACTGATAAACGAATATAGGATCAGTACATAACTACCACTTAGTTACTGGTTAATTAATGCATTACATGTGCCCCCTCAAGTAAAATGTTACTACTGTTATTTGTTGTTAAATGTCTGATAAATGTCAATTGTCAATGTATGTGAACTGCTCCTTGAGCAGGAACCTTAGGAATTCTTTTTCCAACCGCCCTCCCACTCCAATGCACATCACAAGTTCCTGGGAAGTGTCCTTTGGTTGTTCGTCGGGGGACAAGTGTCTGTAAATGACGACGTGAACCGAAGCTCAGGGTCGGGACAGGGACGGGATCTGCACGTTGGCTAGCTCGGAGTCGGAGACATTTATGCTTATTTAGAAAGGCTGCTTTCTTCCGTGTAAATGTGAGGGTAAGCTTGGCTATGAGTGGAAGGGAGAAAAACACAGCGGAAACTCATCGCCCCGAGCGCCAGCTTCTGTGGCGTTAGAGGACATTAAGGGAAACGGCCTTTACGGAGAGACAGCGTATCACATTAGGAAAATACACCCTCCTCATAGCCGTACTCCTATTACAGCTTCAGAATAAATGTACTTCAATTAACCCAATGTTCAAAAGGTCAGTGATGAAAGCAGAAGAAAATGAACAGTCAAGGAACATGTTGCCTGCGATACAGGCCAGGGTAATTGTGTTTAATTATTTTATTTACTTACTTTTAAAAGGCCCATTTAAAGAATTGCCACAGTGCCAATACTTCACCTGCTAGTGGAACAATATATTAATATAATAATACTGTCTAAACAATGCTTGCATCAGGGAAAATTCTTTTATAGAGTAATGAACGCCTGGACGCACCCCTGGGTAGCATAATGAGCCTCGACATAAATACGAAATACATTAATTTACAAAACAGTAGTGGATATATTTCGAGACCATAACCGTACATTTTAAGAGGACAGTGTCATTCCTACGCACTCTCAGAATGCCATGTAGTGGAAAGAAGATGACAGCCTTTCCAGTTTTTCTACCCCCCCCCCATAATCCCCACACACTGCCACCTTGAGGTCAGTTGAAGTACTGCAAGGTAGCTGGATCATCATAATTCAGCGTCCCTTACAGACATGCCAGGAATGGGTTCATTCCATGAATCCTGTACTCTCACCGTTTTCTTTTGCTTGATCTTTAAAGCATCTTCTGATTGGGCAGCAACGTTATTAAAAAGTGCCAGCGTTATAATCCCAAACATACATTATTCGTCAATCAACGAGATGTGGAAAAGCATCAAATGGTAGCCTGCTGAAGCTTTAATCATCGAAAGGTAAACAGCTTCTGTAATAGGTGACCCTACATGTACTGCAATCCTATCCTGGTAAATGGTTTGGAAAATGTCAGAATGGATGGATTACTCTTATACATTCCAAAACAGCAGCGCATATTTTTATGCATTTTAATATTCTAAAAATGCCACACTGAATGCAAATCCACCCATTATACATACTTTATCTACCTTATAGCCCTTTTGCTGTCATTTCTAAGAATATATCAGTAATCCAGGCCTGGAATTTATAAGACACATGGGGGTCCTGCTTCTTATCCAAGGAAAGCTGCTTCTGATTAGAATAAAATTCAAATGTGATTGGCCACTGCCTTTAGTTAGGGGATGATCTCTTTCCCATGATCTCCGTCAGAAACATTAATTTGGCATATGTGTGTGTATATATATATATATATATAGACACACACACATACACGCTCCTCTACTTACGAACTTTCAACTTACGAACTTTCAGACATACGAACAAAGAGGACTGGAAGTCCAAATTGTGTTCCTTGGGCTCCCATTTCCTGTCCGCAACATAAATTTTTTTTTTCTGCTTGCCAATTCCTCCTAGTACGACTTCTGGCCGCTACTCCCGCCTCACAGCAGTGTAGCGTGCGTACTCCCGGCATCCTAGCTCTTAGTACTTGCGTATACCCTTAAAATGATGTTGAATAATGACTTGCGAACATTTCAAGTTACAAACGGCTGTTCGGAACGTACCTCATTCGTAAGTAGAGGAGCGTCTGTATACATAATGATATGATTATGATTTCCATTTTATGTCTGGGACTTCTTATTCAATATTGAACATAATCCATCCATCCATCTTCTAGCCATGGGTCATGGAGTACTAAATGTAATAATAAAAATAAATTATTATTATTATTAGCATTATGATTGAATTTGTTAGCTGCTATAGCAGAGGCGGAGGACTAAATAGTATTAAAAGTGAACATTTCAGAAAAGCGATAACTGAAGCGAAATCACTATTGTGTTAGAAACATAGATCAATAGACCATGTGAAATTAAACTTTATTTGCCATTTGTACAAGCACTTAGGAATTTGTTACATATGCATACCAATGGAGATGATTATGTGGCTAAGCATGGGATTCAAACCAGCAACCTTCAAAGTAGAGACACAGCAGCCTAACCCACTGAGCCACACAGAGCTTCAGATATGATGCACGAAGTATCAGGGCATCTTCTTACAAGGTGAAACCTGGCCGAGCTGTGTCACGGTATACGTTTTAGTGATCTGGAGTCCCGCAGCCGGTACTGCATTCCTGTCACTCACTCGACTTCCTGCCACAGCACACACGGGAAGCATCGACGCAGGAGTGCGGTGGCGGGTCGGCTGGCAGACCTGGTCGGGGGTCCGTCTGCAGTCAGACTTACATAAAAGTCAGAGAAAGAAAAGAGAGCTCTTTGAGGCGGAGGCTCACAGGGGTCTGTGTCAGTCTCAGGGAAGGAGCTTCCGGAAGATTCCGGGAGGTACATGTAGCTATGGCAGTGGAGCGTCCTGGTAACCAGCAGTTTTTAGCGGGGGTGTGCTACTTACATATACCAGGGAATACATTCAAGGGAATGGTTTATCCCGCTACAATAGCAACACTACATTATTAACAAACAGTTTACCACATACAGTGGATAAAAAATGTAGACTAGCAGCGGAAAAATGGAGCGAAGCGATTGT